GATTATACGTAAATCATTTCTTTAAATGAACTATACAGACTCAGATTATACACTGTCCGGTCAAAAAGATAAAAATAAAATATATATTTTTTAAAATAAAGTCGCCACCTGGATTTAACTTAGTTCTATGATGCTGCATTTGGTCAGGTCTCAGGTCCAGGATKTGCTCAAAGAATGAGGTCGGCTACCTGAATATACTGCAGGTTATTCCATCAATGGATTGTTTCTTCATGGTGACACAATATTCCAAGATGACAATGCCACGATTCATTGGGCTCTTATTGTGAAAGAGTGGTTCAGGGAGCATGAGACATGTCCACACATGGATTGGATTCACAGAGTCCATTGAGAATCTTTGGGATGTGCTGGAGAAGGTCAGACTCTACCATCATCAATGCAAGATCTTGGTGAAATTTTTAAATTAACACTAGATGGAAATAAATCTCGAAACATTGAACATTATCCAAACAACGCCACAGCGAATGTGCACTGTAACCAAAACTAAAGGCGGTCCAACGCAATACTAAAGAGTGTGACCTTTTTTTGTGCCAACCTTTTTTGTTGCCAAGCAGTGTTTTCATGTTATTCTTATTTTATTTAGGATTTAAAAAGTCTTCGTTAAAGTTTACCATAAAACTCAATGACAAATCCACCAATAACTCAGTAAAGTTATTGTATTTTAAAGCAGGTAAAACAGTCTTAAGGGAACAAAAACGTACGGACATTTGTGTTTGGTAGATTATTTATTTGTTGAAACAATGCTTCTTGGAAATAAATCCCCTGATTGGCAGCACCTGGGGCGGCCAAATACTCAAACAAATAGCAACAATAAACTGTTTGGCAAATTATTCATGTGCAATACTCTTCTGCTCATAGAAATGCATGTTCCTTACAAATGTGGCACAATTTAAAAAGGGAAATGAAAAGGTACAAGATTTATTGCCAAGCTTTGTCACGGCAGAAAACACTACTTTTTGTGCTGTTTATATCACAAGCTCTCTAAATGGTATTTTTTTTATGTCAGTTTGAGCTAATTTAACTTGACTCTGCAGACTTTAGTGTAAAACTCTAGTTAGTCTCTGGTGTCATGTAAAGGCTTTTACCCACCTTGTGTTGTGAGATACAATCTGCAGGCTTGTATCGTCCTCCCTGCTGAAGAGGAGGACCGATCTTCTGTCTGACCTCCTCCAGAGTCCGCTTGCTGAACTCCACGAGGAGGGGGCCTACAAGATCGGGGGGCGTCTCTGGACACCCCTCAGTCTTCTTCAAAGCCTCTGACRTCACCTCTTTCTTCGAGGTCACGCTGGCCTTTAAAGAGGCCGTTTTCTTCCAGGTGAATTTCGTCGCGCTGGTYCTTTGGCTCGGTCTGACCTCCTCAGCCTCCCAGAAGCTGATCTTCAGATGTTCCACAGAATGTGGGGAGGCRGCAAAGCTCTGAGAGCCCTTCCCGTACAGAAACAAAGAAACAACTGCCAGACTGAGGAAGACAAGAAGTAAAAGCAGGGCTAAAAGTTTTCTCATTTTTCCTCTTTACTTTTTTTTTTTTCTTTTACCGCCCCAGGAGCTCAGCGCTGAAAACAGGACTGCTCTTCCCCACTTCTCGTCCCTTTGCAAGTCAAACGTGTTTTAAAAACCACGAGCAACCAGACCGGTTTTCTGCTTGGAGCAACTTCCTTGTTCAACTTGTCAAATCAGCTTTGCCTTCCCTTCTGCGGTTATATATGTATTCGTATTATTAAGTGGAAATTTAATTGGTCGGCTAATTTGGCAATCAATTGATCTATTTTTTGACTATAAATGCACATAAAGTTTATTTTTATTGATTCCTTTAATTTTGGATATTGCCTCCATTTAAAAAAGTAACCCATGGGGAAAAAATTTAAACAATTTCTTGAAAACAGCATTCATTAAAAATAAACTGCTCAAACTAAACGCAAAACTTGAATAAACAGCGCCTGCAGCAATAAAATTATTAGAGTTGTAAATTAATTTGGCACTGATGTGTGGGTAAAGTCCGCCCTCTACTGGTTAAACATGGATAGTGCTGAACGTTCAGGAAGCTGAGAAAACCACAAGAAAAAAC